GAGAGAGAGAGAGAGAAGGGATCATATGAGAATGGTATGTAGTGAAAGAAATAAGAATAAATTTGGACCATTAGATCCATCATATGGATCTAATGGTCCATCATATGAACATTGAATAATCCTCTCAGGTGGGAGCGGTGACCGATTCTCTCAGGTGGGAGCGAACCCCTTTTCCGATTTCTTCTCCGATCATCGATGTTCTGTACTCGCAGCTACTGCATAGCTTTCACTCCTTTCTTTGGTGGCGTTTTCTTTTCTTCCCTGATTCATTTCTGGGATTTCTAGGGTTACGGCAGTTATGTCGAGGGCCCAGGATGAAGAATTGTCCAACCAATTTAGTGCCTTTTCTCTCTCAAATAATGAAGCAAAATTCATTGACATAGCAAACGATGACATTAAGATGAGTGCGGAAGAATGTGATAGAAGTTTATTTGGAAAAATCATCGGAGACCGAGCAGCAAGCTGGATTGGTATTAAAAGGACGATGACCAACATATGGAGACTCAGCCAAGCCATGGAAATTAAGGAGCTCACCCCGAACTACTTTCAGTTCATTTTTCAGAGTAAAGAAGATCTGAAGAAAGTAGCAGATGGCATTAATTGGAGTTTCGAGAATCAATATCTCGTCCTCAAAGAATGGACGGAAGGAATCTCTAGCAAGCATCCCTGTTTCCAGGAGCTCAAAATATGGGTTCAGGTAACAAACGTTCCTCTTAACTGGCTCAGTACAGAAGTGGGCTTAAAAATAGGGAAGGCTTTCAAGAACGTTAAAAATGTAGTGTTGGCGAACTCAAGGAATCATGGTGGGAAAATACTGAAATTGTTGGTCACTCTGAATTTGGGAGAACCGCTTCCCAGAGTTGCAAATATAAGGCTGGGTGAGCAAACAGCTGTAGTAGGCTTTAAGTATGAAAAATTGCTGAATTTATGCCACTACTGTGGCTTCATAGGCCATCTTGATAGGAGTTGTGCAAAAAGAATTGCTGACATTAACAACAACTCCCTCAAAGAAGGCCAATATGGGGACTTTATGAACTATCTGATGGTGTAAGGAGTTTTGAGCCCAATATCTCAGGTACAAAAGGGGCCACTCATACTGAATCCCCCACAGGAAATATGCACAGTCCATCCAACCACTTCTCATCCCAACAAGCAGAAACAAGCCAACAGCTCATTCAACTGCCACTGAGCAATCAATCAATTGCTCCTGAAGAAGAACAGGACTCACTGGCCTCAGGCACCCACACACCTCCTCACAATTCTTAAATCATTGAAGTTCAAAAAGAAATGGAGGTAGACACTGTGAACCCATCCACTTCAACAATATTCAAGACCCTTCATAACTCATTGGCCCCAACTCAATCCAAACTGAGCAAAACTTGGAGAAGAGACAGAAGCAAGGATGGTAGACTTCTAAGAGAACCTATCATCATAGACACCAAAGCCACTGAACAAGGTACCAAAAGAACAAGAGAGGCAGAGGATTCCAGATGTAACTCTCATCAAGATAACCAGCAGCAACAATCTGTTACAAAAAAGAGCAAGCAACAATCTGACAAGGTGGAGGTTGCCAGCCTCGAATGGCACCAAAATGATCAATGCTAGCTGTGGTGTGGAATTGTAGAGGGCTGGGTGGGCCCTCTACAATTTCCCAAATGCGAGAGCTAATCAAAGCTCACCACCCACACTTTTTTTTCCTCTTTGAGACAAAAAAACAAAAATCCTTTGTTAAATCTATTAGCAGCAAATTAGGTTATGTGGATAGAATAGCTATTGTCAATCCCACAGGTCTCAGTGGAGGATTAGCTTTATTTTGGGATATTCATGTTGTTATTCATCAAGTCATTTGTAAAGACTCTTTAATTGTTGTGCAATTTTCCCTTCCCTCTTCCTCTATTCAGTGGGGCATCTTTGTTTATTTAAGCCCCTGCAGGAA